CATATACATATATATATACATACATACATACATACATACATACATACATACATACATACAGACATACATATATATATATATATATATATAATATAGCTATCACTAATTTCAATTGTGATACTTTTATCTCCTATCGGCGTGGACCACTAATGCTTAACAATTAAAGTCCTCATCCATCTCATACACCGAATCGTACTAGACCCCCGATGCAAGAAAGAACACGCCATATTCTCAATTTACAACATGTAACGAGAAGTACCTACTCATAATTGTGTCCATATCTGCCATCAGTTTCTGGCACTTGAAATGAGGTGCCTTTGGGCCCAATCGACTGGGATCAAGTGAACCCGAACACTCCAGTGTGTCTCGGGCGATCTCCACACACTGGTTGCTGTAAGACATCACCTCTTTGTGGAAGGCCTCGTTGCTCTAATACATTCGGTGGAGAAACAGGGGAGAGCCTCTATAAGCACACAGACTATGTAATGGACGGCGAATAGATAGACGATAGCCTCAAACACAGCCTGTGTCATGGACTTATATTCGACAGCCGGTGATCATTTTCACCGCTTTGAAAGGGTTAGCAGTCACATTTGCCAGATAGACGTAGTTGATTAGGCAGAGAAACAATCTAGTATATCCCGTGTACCGTATCTACAACCTAATGATATTTATGTGCATGTATTGTTTGAGATCATTCGTTATAGGCATTTATGTACTCGAATTATCAAGAGTACAAGGATCAAATTCTGGCCGGTCGCAAAAGGCAATTGCACTTGTTAAAAATAATATTTAGCAAGCAATTTTGATGCAGGAAACCTACCTCCGCTACGTTTATGGTAGAAAGTGCCTGCAGCCAAGCCTCCACTGCTTGGGCTGTCGTCATGGCAACCACATTCCTCCTGGTCTTGAGATGCAGTATTTTCTGCTCCACATCCTCCGAATTCGTTCTTACTATCATGGACGGTACTACACAGTAATCAATAGCAATTGGTATTTGATTTTTACAAACAGCACATGTTTGGTCGCAATTGGTATAAAATATATACATATAGCACATGTTTGTTAGCAATTTGTGAAATATTGGATACAATAGCCTAGCCGTAGCCTCTGGTCTAGTAAGTCTGCGTTAGGGGTTGTGGGTTTTAGTGTTTAAATAGATCCTCTGGTACAGCAAATGTGGTTTATATAATTCGTTTTGGATAAATACAGATAATAGGGACGAAAACCATACACGTGCACATGCAGACACACCACAGAGAAAAAATAAACCATACACGTGCACTGGCAGACACACCGCAGAAACAAAATAAACCATACACGTGCACATGCAGACACACGGCAGAAAAATAAATAAACCATACACGTGCACATGCAGACACACCACAGAGAAAAAAACATACACGTGCACATGCAGACACACGGCAGAAAAAAAATGCCGTGCATTGACGACTAGAAAATAGAATCGGTGGTCATACGCGCACAAAGTATATGCGATGAAACATTGGACACGATAAACATGCACGTACACGCGTAAATCAGGCTCCCACGGATGTGTATACAAGCTGCGGTGAAAAACTAACCACATGAGTGCAGAAAGAATGGACTGATAGTGCATGGTCTGCAGAACCCACTCGCGTACGAAGGGCGGCATGATGGTTCTACCACTGTGGTCACGACACTGACTTCCCACCTCTTACAACCTTGCTGCTTGTCTCGAGTAACCAATTTCCCCACAGAACTACAGCAATGGACTGTTCTGAGAATCCGGAACCCATGTAAAAGCACGGTCGAAAAAACCACGCGGTATATGTATGCATCTACATCGGTTTAAGTATATATACCGGTATATGTACTCAGATAAGTGAAATCATCAACTCCAACGGTTGCGCTTACCTCCGATAATAGACCGGATATCCATGGGAGACAACAATCTGTATGGAAGGAGATAGAACAATACGAACATGATATTGGGTTCAAACGCCAACAGCCAGGTGCACAAGTTAGAAACCAAGACTTACTGGATGTAATGAAAATATTGGTATATGTACACACATACACACATAGAAGAAACCTTGATGTTGCTTTGAGCATACAACTACACATACACAGGTTCGCGCACAAATACATTATCTCACAATATATGATATCAGAAATTCACAATTATGTTAGCGTTCACACCGAACCTTACTATAGACTGTTGCCACGGTGGATAGCTTTGGGTGTCAAATTGCCACCACTACCACGTAGTTGTGGACAGTTTGTATTTTTTTTCCGCTACTTACAGGCTGGCTATAACACTAGTCAAGTCAGAGGACATAAAAGACAGTGACGTGTAATCACTGGTTCCACGACACTCAACGATAAGTATAAATGATACGGCAAAGCGATAGTATACTTCAGTAGTACGTGCACATTGTAGCTATATACATCGAATCCCCAGATGTTTCACTACATACACTAGTTCGAGTGAAAGTATATATATATATATATATATATATATATATGTATGTATGTATGTGCATGGATGTACCCTAGAAAGCGCCATACACAAAAACACCCAAACACATCCACCTGTTCATAGTCTGATGTGCGACAGTATTGATCCGCACGGGCAACCGTGAAACTGTCGAGAATAGTGGGTACAGTGTCTGGCCCTTCCAATAGTCAATAGACTTCTCAATGTCGCACGATATCTCCTCAAAATCATCCTTCAGGCAGGATGTAGGAATAAAACAGTTTAAAACGAGAAGTACGATGGTGATAGATACAAACAGCATATGGGCTACCAGTAATGCACATACAATACAGTCACAACATGGCGCACAGAACACGCAGCTACGTCATGTGAACACATGCTCGTCACACATAGTAGTATCTGATAATTGAGTAGTGTGCATATAGTCACTACATGGTGTACACAACACGCAGGTACATCGTGTCAACACTACCTCGTCATGCACAGGCTTACCAGTATCTGCGCCATCAGCAGAGTACACAAATGAGCCAGGATCACGGCATCGCTCTGTTCGCATCTGTGAAGGAAGATGTATACAATGGAAGCCGTTAGATTGAGATCCCAATGTGCACGGTGTTGAGGGCTCTGTAGCTTTCGTTGATGTTTGTACTTGTCATCTGTGTGTAAGTTTAAGGTATGTTTGGTAGTTCGAGTTTTCTTCGAATGAGGTTGTGCCAGGATTTTACCGTTTTGGATAGCGTTCTGGATGAAAAAAATCTCTCATACAGTAGAAAGTACTCAACATTGTTATAGATTACGCGATATTTTGCGATTATGGCAGGTGGGCAGCAGATTTGAGTGTATTTCAAGGAGGCTATGATTCAAGGACTGTTCATCCACTCAACAAATCCGCACCCTTAGACTGATATCCCTGTACTTTAGCGTGCCACGGGCATCATATGGTTAAATGACCCTGTGCTTTAGCATGTCATCTGCATCACATGGTCAAATGATATATGTAGTCTCTGGATACATCGCTGCCTACACGCGCTGCGAACAGACCTTACGACTGATACAACTTGGAAGACGAGCCTAAGTCAATGCAGTTTGTACAACTTAATGACCATCTTACATTGATGCAATATTGACAACGCTAGAGCTCAAAAACAACCCTGATCGGCAAAAATAGACAAAAAGCCCCTAGAATGTTGCCAAATCTCGGTATATGAATACACCTTCGTGCTCTAAAACATACTTTCCGTTGTTTGCCTGTAAGTGCCCCAGTACGAGATGCGTGTCGTCTATGTCCCACTGCGACATCAGCAGGACATCTCGCACCACATGCGGCACTTGCTCAAAAACCTCATCCCCTGAGCAAATGAGCATGCCAAAAAAACCCAGTTCATACGATGACACTCGTGCAATAACAACAATATATATATCACATACAGAGACGACATGGGGTCGAGAAAAAAATGTATATATACGTAACTGCTTATAAACACATATCAATCATTTATAAGTTCAGAGCGCATATACATATATACCACCAGAACCAGATTAATACGCACGTATACACACACACACACACACACACACATATATATATATATATATATCATGCATATATATATATATATATATATATATATATATATATATACATACATACATTTATATACACGCTTTATATATATATATATATATATATATATATATATATATATATATATATATATATATATAACACGACGTGTTAGTTGTATATATATACCAAATA